TGTACGAATAGCACGCCCCTGTGTTTCACAGCTCCAAGCTCCGTAACACTAGCCATGATCGATAGCGCTGGGGTGCTATCCAACCTCCCCCACGCTATTTCACAGTCACGGGACACAGCTTGTCGCCAGCCCTCAGACCCAAGCACTGCGCCAATGAACATCCACTGGAAGCTGAAGGCTTCCTGACCTCCTTGAGCTTTGTGTTGCACTGTTTTGATTTCCTGAAACTCCTCAAGCAAACCTTACTTATTAGCTGCAGATTTGCTGAAGGAATTCTAGGAAACAAAAGCACTGCAACAGAAAGCACATGAAGCCGCCATCTTGCTGTGGCCTTCCCGACAGAAGCAGACAGTGGAAAGCCAGCGGATTGTACCTGAGAAAAATCAAAGCTTGATCATCAAACAGCACCAATGGCATTGTCTTGCACATGGTGGACCATCCATTGGGATCCATGTGCCATGCAATCGTCAACATTGGCACGCCGCGACCATTGGGCAAGAATATTGGGTGGTGGCGAACTTTTGTTGGGAGGACGGAGCCTGGCAGGAGGCCCGATCCCTGCTTGCGTGAGCCGTGGCCCAAGGTGCGGCACAAGAACGATGCGCAGCTTCGACGCGCCAATCGGAGGGAAACAGCGCAACAGTGACGGCGCTTCGGCGCTCACCAAGCCACTCGGACCTGAAAAGCTGGACGTTGCCGCTAATTCCAGCCTTGGGGCTTCACAGTCTCGCGATGAGAAGCTGTGCCAGCGTGCTTTTGGCCAGAACACTTCGACCATGTCGTTTTTGCTGTTTGTTGCTTTGAGTCACTTGCTGCTGTTTTCTTGTGTTGCTTGGAACGGAGCTGGCCCCGTTGAGCCGTTGGGAAGCTGCCCTGAAGCTGGTCGGAAGGCAGCTGAATGCCTGCCCAGGTTCGATGGCAGGCGGTGTTCCCTTTGCATCCTTTGTGTCTCTCTGAAATGGCGCCTTGTGCTCAAAAACAGACCTTGCTCTTCCAGGAATCCTGCCGGACAGGGCCCCATTTCGGTGGAAAGCTGTGGAGAGGGGGAATCGGGGCGAGGGCGAGGACGCCGTATTTTAAGGGGCAATTTCTGCTACTTCTATCAAGGGATGGATGGACGGAGGATAAGGGAGCAAGCGAGCGGGGTAAGCATGTGCCATTTCCTACATTGACTGCTTGGTTTTTGGCAGGTGAGAATGCTGGCACTGTTGGGTCAACCCCGCTTTAGGCTGCGGCTGCAAAGGCGAACGGACTAAGTCAAATGCACGGTCATCACGCGATTAGTGCATCGCATTTTGTGCTGATGTGTGGACAGAGAAACATTCCAGCAGATAAAATCAACAACAGTGAGTTATCTGCCATGGCTGTCAATCGAACCTGTTTTGCCGATATAGCTTCAAGACGACCGTTCGTCATTGCTTTTGCTGCAGTTGCATGTGCTTCACCGTGTGCGCGAGTATTAAGCTCGCAACTCGCAGGCGTACAAGATAATGCGCACCTTTCACTAATAAAGTTGAAATCCTGCTATAGTGTGGCATACATCGTATTGAAAAATCTAGACTGTGAGACACAGAATTTCAGCTATGCAGTTGCTCACAAGCGTCAATCATCATATGCTGAACAGAGAGGGCGATTCTACAAAATTTGCACATGCAATGCTCAAACAGACCGCTTTGGTGCCTTTGTTCTGTGATCCTTCATAGACTTGTGGTCGGCGCAGGGATGGTGGCACTTGCCCCTGGGTCTTTTAGATTGCATCGCGCAGCTCTCTGCGAAGTATGAAAGGGATTCTGCACAGCACGATTTGTTGTCTCAATTGGACACGGTCAAGCAATATGGCAGAAAACTGGAGCCAGTCTTCAAGGCTGCTCGTGGTGTCACCAAGCACTGTGTGCATTAGCGACGAAAGCAGACCTCTTCCTGAGGACTAGAACCTTATCCCAGGACACGCGCAGTGCTATCTACCAAAAGTTCGTGATTGTGCAAGGCCTGTGTTTATCCTTGATCCTCTCTGACCACAGCATAGCAGCGTTGGGGATGCTCACAAGATTTAGGTACCTGGACTGCAGGGCTGTAACCATGATTGCTGAGCTCCTGAGCAGCTTGGCGACACTGACAAACCTGAAGGGACTTGCGCTTGAGGGTTTCAGGGATGTTGCTGAGGAAGTCTTGGGTATTGTTGGATCTCTACCACAACTTGAGGAGCTTGAAGTCAGCCAATGTGAAATCCCGAATGGAAGTCTACACCATCTGCAGCGCCTCGAGCTCCTCAAGCATTTGAATTTGCCCTCATGCCGGAAGCTCACTAATGTGAGGACGTTGGTTGGCTTACCATTCACAAATTTGAACATGGGGGGCACCAATGTGGCCAACTTCCAGTTTCTGGAATCTTTACCACTTTTAGAACAGTCGCGTTGCCCGCGAAGTAGGCCAGACAGGCTTGAGGTATGGGGAACTGCTTACCTCATTGTAAGATTCTATGCTGCCAAACTTTGAGCCCATCGCGTGGTTGACAGCCTCGAAAATTTTGCCAATGCTAAAGTCGCTGGATGCGGACTATTGGGATGTACCTTTATCCACAATGCTGGAATCCTTTCCGCATTTGCAGTGTTATCGGGCATTGGTGGCGGACTGTTGGTGAAAACGGAGGCCTTGAAGATCTAAGGTTTCTGCGATCACTCCTAGATCTGAGTTTGGAAAAATGCAATGGCGTCTCAGACTTGGGCGTGAGGTAGTCGGCCTCATTCAAGTGGATCGATTGTCTGCGCTTGTATAACAGCGACGTTGCAGACAAGCATGTATTGTTTTTGTCACCTTTGTCGTCTATGACGTCGCTCACTTTGAATCGTTGCCGAAGTGTCAAGAGCACAGGTTTTCGTTTTCTTAGCAACTGCTCCAAACTTCAGAACCTTTTGTGAACTCTATGCCACTATCGTTGGCGAGGTACACGAGATCAGCGGTTGTCTTTCAGACAGCGTTATTTCAGCGTTGTACACAGGATTCAATGGCAACTGCATGCAGACAGCATCAGGTGTATGCAACTCGACGTGTTGATAAATATCTCAATAGCTTCATGAAGTCTCAAGGGGCGCTCACATTGACACTGGACTTGCTCATTGTGCGAACAATGGTACCAAAAATATGGTAGGAGACCACTATTTTGGGGTACCACTATTTTGATGATGATGACTATTTTGTGTGAGTGGGGGGGGGGGGACAAGTTGAAACAGTTGGTGAGATTCGACAACTGAAGGTGGAAGTTCTCCATTCGCGGCTGCATGGAGTCGCCACCCAATTTGTTTTAACGAGTTGCAGCCAGTCCTCTATCGTGATACAAACGCATCATTCCTTTAATTTGCCAATTTTGACTCGATTTTTAAATGATGTGGAGAGAATTAGTTGACTTAAATCATTTTGACGGATACATGAATGGGAGGTACGTTAATAGCTTTTGTTCAACGATTGATCTACATGACATACAAAGCAAGCCAGGTTTCTAGTATGAAGGATTTTTGCCACTGTACCCCTATTTGTTTGTTTTAGTTCTGCTATTTTGCTTTGGGGTTTGATTTCTGTAGGCCGAGCACGATTCCTGTTGATCTACTCTGCAATGCTCAATATATCCGTATCCTTTCTGTTAATTAGGTTCTGCAATGACATACACTTTCTAATTCATAGACAAGCCTAATGCGATGTGAGCTGAAGCCATTCCAGTGCATTTTGCCAGAGCATTATAAATAACTACGTGGCTCTGCCCCCGTTCGCCATTTGGAGGTCGCTTCATTAACTCGTTATTCTCCACAATCTCTTCTCACAAGAAAATGTTGTTTTTATATAATACTTGCACTTAATAATCGATTTTTTATTATTGAATTATTTTTTTATTTTTTAAATGTATTGTGGATGTTGTGTTTCAGCATTTTGATGCTTTCCATTACAAGACGAGGAGGTGGGGGTCAGCTTCCCATTTTGCCCAAACAGAGCAATGTCCATGGAATGTTTATTGAATTCTGATGTGTACCACAACGAATTTCAGAATCCACCAATTCGTGATTATTGAAAAGCTTTAGTTGATGATGGTACATATACCAATATATATAAGGAAGGAAATTCTCGCCAGTTGGCGAGCGGTGATATAAGCCAAAGCTATTTTTGCACCGTTGTGTTGAAATAGACTCGATTGGCTTTGATGTGTACCATCATAGGCACAACTGTGGAAGAAGCATGTATCTCACCTTCCAGGGTTGAGTGACTTAATGGACACAATCGGCTTTAGAATTCAATAGTGGGTTGTCATGGGTTGGTGTCTTGTGTGACCTCTAGGAAATGAACTCCGCAACAAACTCGTAGGAAAGATGCCATCAGAAATATTGGCTACAATTGTGGCAAAAGTCGTTTGTGGCAGTAATCAGCTGGGTGAGTCTGTGCCATCGCTGAATCCTCCAAAATTGGCTTGGATAAAGGGTTGGTGTTGTGATAATTTTTGCAGATCCTTTGAAGTGATTACACGTCAACTATTGTGGCCTCCGTTGAATTGAAAGCAGGCTAGAATCGGTGAAACAATGCAGTGGTGCGTCCATACTGTGATCGAGGATTGGCTCAAAATCGTTGAAAATTCAGACTCGAATATAGTTTCATGCATCCATGAGTTGGGAAGTTCCACTGTTTGCCTCTAGTGTCGTCATCTGTCTCTACAATTATTTCAAAGAAATTGAAGAAAGTGCCCCCATTGCCGCTCAGATAATGCCCAGCGGTGTATGTGCATAAAGACAAAAATCTTTGCCTTTTCGGGCAGAACGGACAGACTTGCTTCCTTGATGTGCAGAATTTTCTGGATTGCATCGATCGACCGTGTGGAACCGAGTGCATTCCATCGCATTTTTCCATCAGTTTGCGGCTTTGTATCCGCGGCCCTCCAGCACAAATGCCCGGAAACCCAACAGCTGTCCACCTTCTCCTTGCGGGGTACCACAGCCCCCCCAGGACGCCCCCCGGGCGCCATGCTCAGCTACGTGCTCTTCGCCGCCCTGGCGCTCCTGGCGATTGGGCTGCGCCGTGTGCGCGCCGCCTGCGCCTCCCTCGACGCCACCCCGCCGGGCTTCGCGGACCTGGCCTTCGACGGACTGAATGGCGATGGCCACATCAAGACGCCGTCAATCTTTGACGATCCCGCAAAGTACCTCTCCGTGGTGGTGCCCTCCTACTACGAGCAGGCGCGCCTGCCCAACACGCTCAAGGAGACGATGCACTACCTGCAGAGGCGCCGGGACCGCGTTGGGCCCCACTTCACCTACGAGGTGCTTGTCGTCGACGATGGATCCAAGGACGGCACTTCGGCGGTGGCGACCAAGGCGGCAGCCGAGCACGGCGGGGACGCGGTTCGCCTGCTGAGGATGCCGCGCAACTGCGGGAAGGGCTACGCGGTGAAGCTGGGGATGATGCGGGCGCGCGGGGCGCTGTGCCTGATGATCGACGCCGACGGGGCGACGCTCGTGTCGGACGTGGAGAGGCTCGAGGCGGAGCTGCGGAAGATCACGCGGCCGCCACAAGGCGGGAGGAGTGGGAAAGATTTGAGGAAGGGTGTGCTGGATCCCAAGGATTGGGATTATTCGCTGGCGATCGGCGGGCAGGTTGGGGCGGCGTTCGGGTCGCGCGCCCACCTGGCGCAGGCGGCGCGGACCAAGAGGAGCTGGTACAGGAACCTGCTGACGGCGGGGTTTCACGTGCTGGTGGGCCTGGTGGCGGGCAACGAGGTGAGGGACACGCAGTGCGGGTTCAAGCTGTTCACGCGGAGGGCCGCCGGGCTGCTGTTCGCCAACCAGAGGCTGCGGAGATGGTGCTTCGACGTGGAGCTGCTGCGCCTGGCAGGGCTGATGGCGGTGCCGGTGGTCGAGGTGCACGTGAAGTGGACGGAGATGCCCGGATCCAAGATCAAATTTTGGCACATCATTCACATGGCGTGGGAGCTGGTGCTGGTGAAGCTGGGCTACACGGCGATCGGGGGGTGGAGGGTATCGGGGGAGAGCGAGTTGTACAAGAAAACGGACTGAGGAAGCGTGCTGTGCCCACAGAGGAGGGCATGCCGTGGACAGAGCAAGACACACTGCTTTGGACAGCCTTAGATCTATTGTAGAATTCACACGACCTTTGACTAAATGTATTGAAGTCATCTTGAGACTTCCAGAGATCGCTGCTTTGTAGAGCTGTGCTTCACTGCCATCAATGACAAGACTGCTGTGCGCCCGCTGTACATGTTCATGAGCTGGCTTTGCCAGGTCGGTTGCGTCCTACCAATGTGCTGCTCCAACTGTGCACAGGCCCCCCAGCAAGGGCCGTTCAGTCCACTGCCAGATCCCTAGTAGCAGGATGGAGCAAAGGAAACTTTGGATTGCCGCTGAGTGAGCAGCTGGTTGACGCGTTGCTCAGCAGCCTCCCGCTTAAGCTTCTCCTTCTTGAGTTCTTCCTCCAGCCTCTCCAATCGGCGTGTGACCTTGCATGTTTTAATACACATTAGCATTGTCCTTGGCAGGAGTTGTGGTTATGAGCAGTGGATCTGGCACGTGTGATACTGCAGATAAGTGACATTTCTGGCATGATAGACACCAAAGATGCCGTCATTTGCTGGGGGCATGCACTGGG